GGGAGGGCGGGGCTCAGCGCTGTACATACTTATTTTTTCAGTGCGAAGAATGACACACACACAGTCCCAGTTATTGAGAATAATCGATGGCAGGCTTTCCAGTAGGGCAAAGTAGAGCGAGATTTATTAAAAAAAGTTAAAAAAAAATAAAATGAGAAAACAGAAATTTAAAAGCCGATGATAGTGACACAGAGAGAGCAGTTTCACCAGTGGATAGGTTTGAGCCTCCACACGTCTTTTCAGGTTTTTGTTTTGTTTTTAGCGATGGAAAATACTCATGGAAACAGCTGGTAGCCATGACGTTGAGGCTAGTGTACCTAACAGCCTTCTCCTGTACAAATCCCATGACGGGCATCACCATAGTTATCCACAAATATTTGCTTCTGTGAAACTATTCTCCTCCTGGGGTGGGCATCAGGTGCTTATTTAAATACAAAAACTATACATTTATATGATAGGTAAGACTGTAGTAGTAAAAGTTAGTCCAGTTTTATATACCAGAAATCGCGCACATTCATACAGAAATATATACACGTCATGTCATGGATGCATTTGATTGGCTGAATGAAGGTTCTCGCATTTCCTGGGTAACCATGGTAACGCGTCGTGAACAGGTCCCCCCCATGTGATTTTTGGAAATAAAAAATAAAAAATTGTGACAGTAATGAAATAAAATAAACGTGCCTGTTGGTGGCTACAGCCCTGTCCCTCTCTCTCTTACTTTCTCCCTACCTCACTCTCCCACTTCCTCCCCCTTCTCTCCCCCTCCTCCCTCCACCTCCCCCATTCGTCTGTGAAGAAAAGGGAAAGAAAATTTACTGCAAGGAAGGAAGTAGGGAGGGGAAAGATCGGGGAGGGGTCTTTATGTAAACATTCCATTATGTGCAAATAAAAAAAATATTAAAAAAAAGGAAATTGTTATGTTAAAAAAAAAAAAACCTATGCAATCATAATGTGTTCAAATATCTGAGTTCTGGGGAAAGTTGTGGGCATCAATCAGACTCCCTCGGAAAAAGTTCCCTGTCTAAATTCAACAGGATACCAGATTATTTCCCTAGTGTTTGTCGGCTGTTGGAGGGAGAGGAGGGGGGAGACAGGGGGAGGGACAGACAGACAGGGAAGGGATGGAGAAGAAAAGACTTGGACCAAAAGCTTGTTTCTTTTTTGTTTCTTTTTTTTTTCTTTCTCTTTTTTTTCCCCTGCGAGGTTGGAGAGAGAAATGAACTCTGGAATTGTGATTTTCCTTTTTTTGTACTCTTTAATATCAAACCTTATCTGCTGTACTGGAAACTGCAACGCCTTCTGTCTCTAATGATAAAGTGAGTTTCACAAAGCACACATAAAAGTTTCCTTACAAAATTACTCTGCTTGGCTTCGTGTCCTTTTTTCTTTGTGTGTGTGTGTGTGTGTGTGTGTGTTTATCTCAAACTGCCTCGTGATGATATAACCTTGGAAGTTTGACATTATACCACTACAGATTGATTTATAAAATAGACCTTTTTCACAGCAGGCATGTTGGCATGAAATAGTAGGGTAAACACCAGGGACACTAATTAAGGCTCTGTTCCATTTAGTGTAGCAGAACCTTTCATGCAGCAGCACTCTGACCTGAATGGAACCTTTTATTGGTATCATTGGTAACGCCTGTGTTTACCCTAAAGGAAACTGTTTGATCCCTCCCCAACAATTGATTAAATTGTGATTTCATCTTCACTTTTTATTGTATTTAATTAAAAGATATGAGGTTAAAAGAAACGTTCCCGCTCTGGAGGAAACCTGGTGTGATGAGAATTTGACTGATAATGAGAAGTAGATTAGTCTGCACTGAGATGCAGAGCTTTACTTTTATTTAATTATTAAAGATAAAGTACAACTTTAATTAAATAAAAACATTAGGTCCAGTTAATGTCCCATATACAATACAAGGCTGTCAGCATGTACATTAAAATGTAACTAAACGTGTATAAAAAGTGAATTAAGGTCAAACTTTGGAGAGATTTTGTGAGGTTGAGGGAATAATGTTCATTCTCTGACAGTGGTTTTCAAACTGGGGTGCGGGGACCAACAGGGGTCCTTGAGTGGGTTGTAGGTGGCCCCCAGCAAAAGGAGGAACATTTTAACTTGTATCCAATTTTTTTGGGACATTGGAGCAACTTTATTGATTGTAATTAATAGTGATCCCAGATTGATCATCGATTTACTATAAAAAGTTATTAACTTAAAACCTAAACAAAAAGGCTCCAGGTCTGTGGTCCAATGTGCTTCTATTGTGGGGGTCCTTAACATAAAAAAGTTTAAGAACCCCTTTAAGTACCACACATTCACACAGGTTCAGGTGTCCTTGCATCTGCCTGCAGTGGTACAGTGAACAACCTTCCTGAGAATACAAAGACCATTCAGTTCATTCAGACCGTTCAGTGTCATTTCACCAGCTTTCAGCCTTCAGTCTGTACCTACACTGAGCAACCTGGGATGTTACAGCTGTCAAACTAGAGTTCAGACTGTGTGTTACCTCTGGCTACCTCCTTATATTAAGTATAAGGCAATGATGTAATATCACAGGTGGGCGGCTGCGCGCGGGGTCTGCTGCTCTCACCTGTTGCATTATACGAACTGGTTTCAGGCTCGAGGAACGGAAATGGGCAGTACCTTTTGGGGAGGGAGGGGGTCTGATCTGCGCGTGCAGCACCGACTGTCGGACCTGCATTCACGCGCGCCGCTGTGCCCCCTTGGAGCAGCTCGAGACCAACAACATGAGCAGCTCGGTGACATCCGAAGAAGTGACGCTCAAGCCGTGACGTGACCTTTGTTGTTTAGACCTCTCCTCATCATCATCAACAACAACAACAACAACATCAACATCAACAGCCTGGCTGTGCCCGCTGCGCGCGCACTGCGGCGCTTTGAAACCTCGGAACAACAGGGAGCTCGGGGCGCGCGGCCGCTCCTCCTCTGGCCCGCCGTGGCAGGAATGATGCTCGCGCTCACCTTCACCTGCCGCGCGCTGCTCGTCTTCCTGCTCTCGGAGTCGGTTCGGACCGACAGAACAGCGGTAGGACCCGAACTTACTCAGCGTTTGAGTGTGGGAACTTTGAGCTTTCAGTTTCATGCGAGCTTTTAAATCTGAGGCGAAACTCAGCAGCTAACAAGTGTAAACCTATTACTGCAGCGCGCATTAATGAAGGCTGTATGTGACACACAACACAAAATACCTTCTGGGAAGGTTATTGGCTTGTAAGCAGCTAAGTGGCTAAATGCAGCGCTTAGACGGAAATTCCATTCCAAGTTAATGGGCTTAATTGTGATAAAACAACGTTTAAAACCTGATAGATACAACTAGTTCTTTTATATACTGATTTACTGGTAGCCTTTAGTTCTGACGTTATTCCTTTGGTTTGATTTTGATTTATTTTGTCACTGACATTAGCTGCTGTAAAATGTAACTTATTTTGACTCATTACGCTTTTACAGTGAACATCTGTGCTGTATTTCCAATGAAGCCTTTTAAAAGCTGAAGACAGAAGTTACAGGACGATAATATGGGCTGTATAAAGTTAAAGGTTGAGTAAAAGAACAACAGGTCTGATCCATAAAGTTCAGCATCCAAAGTGTGTACACCAACATTGTCCTCTAACACGATGAAGAGTATCTTTCTTAATACTATTCTACTATTAAGTGTTAACTGGGTAACAAAAACAATCTCTCTGCTTGTAAGCAGTAAAATGTGTGTGTGTGTGTGTGTGTGTGTAATTGGCTTTCCACCACAGTGGCTCCATGTTGCCAGTTTCTATCAACTTTGGTTTATAATTGGTTTAGTCAAACAGACTTGACAACAACACAAAAACCCAAACTGTGTGCCATTAATTTTGTTATTCTGGCAGCGTAACGACAATATTAGTTTTCAGGATGAGGAGATTAATCTTCATGTTTGGGTTAGTGTGTGTGTGTGTG